GGTTTATTATTGATCTAAATTGACCTTTGTGAAATTTTTAGCCCTCGCTCTCAATGAAATGAATTTTACATGTGTCAATTTGTGGATTTTGTGCCGACAATGATGTACATGAACGTACGAATATTAAACTAATTGTATCATTAACAGGACTGCCGTTTTTGTTCTACTTCCGCCAGTTAATTTGCAGATAAAAACACACAGTGGACTGTAAATCAACACAGAATGAATTGGACGAATTTGTTTTGTATAACACGTAATGAAATTTGTACGTGCTCGTTCTCGAATCGTTCCCGTACGAATCGAATTGTGGGTCGTTCGTATAGGCATAAATAACAAAAAAAATTGTTTCTGGTTCGCGTTAAATTAAATTAGTTGCCCTAAAATAAACTAGTAATTATTGCGGTAGGCATTTTTAAATTAACGTGAAATAACATTGATTAAATTGAATTCCAAGTCCTCTGCGTTTGTAAGCTCCTATAAACACCCTAAACATCAATAAATATAGTTGATTGTGTTAGAAGAGTTTGTTTATAGTTTATAAAACGAAATTCCATGTTGGCGGCAATAGCAGCTAAGGGAAAACCTTTTTTTTTATTCACAAGTATTTAAATAGATTTTCAATGTGCAAGTAATTTGGCCCAAGAATTAAAGTGTATCATAAATTAAATTGGTTCTAAATTCCCTAGGTCTAGGGTCTGACAACACTAGACAAAAATTTAATGCGTTAGTGGACATCTTTCTCTCCCTTACTTACTGATTGTAAAGACAGAGAGAGAGTTTTCTCTTACAACATTATTCCATATCCCAATGTTTCAAAGATGGTCCAGGAATCTTTACATTTTCACTGTTACTTTTACCTTAACTATTATTCTGGGAAAAGGACTTTTCCATGACAACCCTAGTTACGATATAAATAATTTGAAGTCCAATGTATTCAATAATCTTATGGCATACATACATCTCCTTACTACTAAGTTTAACTTATCCACGTCAAAAATAGTTACTAGGTATACCTATAATAATAACTCATATTTATAGCTTTAGAGACTATAACCCCGTCATTGCTACCAGTTTAAATTTAAAAATATTTCTCCTAAGTCATAAAAAAGCATTTTCTTTTGAAGAGTATTTATCAATACGTATCTATACATATTTTATTAATGGTTGTTTTTGTTGGAACTTTTTGATATCCAATGCGAATTTTTTTTTACTAACGTCAAATAACAATATTTTAAAGGTTTCATATTTTTGAATTACATTTATAAATATTATATTCCTCAAGGCAAAAAAGGTAGACATATAAAGGTAAACACCTACGTAGCATGTCCATTTTTCTACTTTGTTTTTTAATCAAGCTTTAAAAGGAATTTTATTTGGAAAATGTGTGCTAGTTCTTGAATTCTACAGTATTTCTAACATTCCAAGAAGTCATAGATTGTTTTATCTCATATCAAGATTTCTTCGTACGAAAGCCGTTTTGTCCTTGATTGTGTACTGACCCAACATTAAATGCGATAACAATTCCAACGATATACGTAATGTAAAATTGAAAATTTTTTGTTAATGATAATAATATTCTAAAAGTAAATAAGACTTTTTTTAAATCACGTAAGAAAAGACGTATTTGCCCTAAATATTGACGAAATGCTCAAAAACACCAATAAAGATGTAACGAATCGTTAAAGCGTAACTCATCTTTGCAGAAAATAATTTCACTCGAATTGAAAGAAAGTAAAATAACAAAACAAAAACGTTCTTACCGTTCTCGTCTTTAATTACATTTTAATAAATCAGGCAGGTACCGTCTTTGGATTTCATCGTCAGAGGATATTAGAAAGACACTCTGCCGCCACACTGGCGATTCTACGGTGAAAAGTACTCAGCGTTTCACTTTAACCACGACCGGCAATTTTTAAGTTTAATTAAGCCGTAATTCGTTTCCGTTTCCACGATTTTTTCCGTCAATCTCTTTAAGACTCGGCGGCGACGGGTTGCTCAGGCACAAACTACGCCAGCCATTATTACATAAATGCAAAGCGCATCCCCGGAAAACTCATTCAATTAAGACCTCGCAATAAAACTTAATTTTGCGGCTTCATACAACGGTTAAGACGGTGGTTTATTAAGACCAGAAAAGTGCAATAAGTACAAGTCCGCCATAACCAGGCGTGCATGGCGTGTACCGCACGCGGGCAGAACGTTCAGCGTGGCGGCAGTTATTACAGTTGCTATTTAAAAATATAATTAGAAATTTAGAAAAGAATGCAGAATGTAGAGTTACAGGTAAGTAATAAATTCGTCGTAAATAGATGAAAATCTGGACAATGTGAAGAACAGCACCTTTACACAAGAATTTAACTACACATTTTGTACCCTTTAATAGTATTCAAGTTGAAATACAGAGTGCGCCTGTGCATCTTTGTTTCATTTTTGGTTTTATACTTTTATGAATCTAAGTTTGACCTATTCTTATCATCCAATTCGATAATCGACTTGTATGCGGGTATGATATCCCATTACTTTTCTGGTATGCAGTAAAAGAATAAAAGACAGGACAAAAACAAAGGTTCAAGTTTCGGTCCTTCTCCATGAGGGGTTCAAAGTGCGAATGCAGAGGATTGAATACCAATGTAAACCGCACAGGTCGTTTATTTCTTTTCTTTCCTCTCTCCATTGACATTTTCTGGAATGCCACGTCGCAAGGGAAATATTCCCGTTGTTAAAGTAATTTGAGCACCGTCGCGACGACCAGTGAAAGAGAGGCACTGGTCACTTTAATGTGAATATATGAATAACAGATACAACAGTTTTAAATTGAAAAATTATTAATTATAATAATAAATTATACGTAAACAATTATTATACGTAAATAAACGCAAATGGTTAAGGATGTGGGTTGTTCTAGTTTTAGGGAAATGCGAAGATTAGTTCAGGATAGGAAGGAGTGGAAGTGCGTGTCCTACCAGTCAGACCTAACGGCCTTATGATGATGAAATTAAAGTCTAAATCTGGAAAAACTTCCAAAGGAAGCATACTAGCGCCATCCTACAAAGATACTGTTAACAAATACATCAATATAAACAAAAAGGATCAATCGTTTACAAGAACAAAAAAGAAATTGCTGCAATTATGTCTACGCATGGTACAAGAATCCCCAAAATAACAACCCTAATTTAAGCTGAATTTCCGAAAATTCTTTTAATGCATGTTCTGCTTTGAAAAATTATTTTCCAACGCACTAATTAGACTTTTCTCTCCTGAGCCTTTTGAAAACTTCATACAAGCGCCATCTTGCAGAAACTGCGTTAACAAAATCGAAGTATCACTAATAAATAATTAACCGTATTATCTGCATAATTAATGGTAGAAGGCTTTACTTGTTTAAACTCCATAATCAATTAAATGGAATAAAAGTAAAGTTTCAAAAACATATGTTAATTGTTCATAACAATTATTTCGCCATTACATTAGCTTCTTCAGGTGAAGATATTTGAAACTTTACTTTCGTTTTCTTTAAGTTATTATGAAGTTTCAAAAAGTAAAGCCTTCTACCATTAATTATCCAATGTTGTTTTTGCAATAATTGTATAATGTTTAGTTTGTTCTTCCAAGTGGCATTGTGATTAATGCGTTCACTTTTACGACTGAATTCGCGAGAAATCTGTGAAATGGACAAATAAAAATAAGTGAAACTTTCTGAGTCAACTGTAAACTTTTAAAATTGGGAAGCTCCGTAAAAGGACAAGCTAGTGTTGGAGTAAGAGACTGCTCCAATTTCATTGTTTGTTCTCTCTAACGTTCCACCTCTTGAGCTGATGTCACTTGTACGCCTGCCTTCCTCTAAAGGGCCTTTACTTACTCCCAACACGAAGGACTATTCCGATATTAAGTTATAAAATTTCAGCCCTCAGTTCTTTGAACTATTATTCTAAACGTTGNTTTAACAGAGAATTATTTTGGTTTATCAACAATTATTTGTTTCTTTATATTCACAATAAATGAATAGATAATTGTAATATGACTCGGAAAAGTAACTCTATCATTGTCAGGTTGGTGCAAAATTGTGTGAATTGTAAAAAGACACCCTTCTAGTTTTCAGATATGCAAAATCGTCAATCAGTTTTTCAAACTCTTTGTCTTTGAGCATATCCCATTCTATGGACTGATCAATCTTTCTTGAAGCATTGTTCGTCTTAACTTATTTTTTATTCTTTTCCGTTTAAAGAAGGAGCGTTCGCCACTACAGTTAGTTACCATCATGTTTAAAAAGATTCTCAATGCAATTTCTACATTTGGAAATGTCTCTCCAACTTGGTTTTTTATCAAAACTTCCGGAATGCTATTGGTTTGCCAAATACAGACATTCTATTTCTAACTCTTTCTCGTTAACATCTTCATAGCAGCAAATTCTTTGCAACTTTGTCTCGGGATTTGGAGTCAAGCAAAGAACAATATCAACAATAATCAATGTCCTTGTAAAAACTCAATCGCTGTTTTAGATGCACACTTGGGGTATCACTTATGGGAAGTAAGGTATTTCTACTTTAATATCTCTTCCTAACTCAGTTGGACTATCGGTGCAGAGTCATCAAAAAATATCTGGCGCGAACTTCTAAGTCTTATTCTTTGAGACAAGTCCTTGTACTCATATTCTATATTTTTCTCATTGGAGAGCGATTCGAAGTAATAAAATTTCAGAATATATAAATGTTTGAAGAATCACCTACATTTAGGTACGCTTGCTTCTGACAGCAATTATTGATTAATTTTCTTAAAATAATTATCGGCTTTTGGTTGGCGGATGAATCTGGCAGGAACTGTACAGGGGGCCTCCGTTGATCGTGGGGCCCTGGGCACTTGCCCAGAGTGCCCAATGGAAAAGAGGGGCCTGCCTTTGACAAACAGATGACGATAAGAATAAGCTTTACTTGAACAGATTGCAACGTCCAGCTTTGAATGGAACTAGTAACCATAACAACAAAACTTTAATAAAATCGATACAGCTATGTACGTGTACTAAACAGGGTGCAAGTCAATTAGTAAATCAAGTGAGTGAAAGCCGCTTCCGGTCACTCGGAAGTGTCAAGATGGATGTAGAAGAAGTTGAAGAGGAAGAAGTGAAACGTAAGCGTCATTATCACCGAAGAAAGAAGAGAAAGAAGTACGTCGAAGAGAAATATAACTACGAAGAAATAGATGGTGTGTTAAAAAAGTCCTTGAATGTAGCTTCTCAAAAGTATCTCGAACTGATTGTGGGTGAGCACGTGACCAGCGAGAAACCCTGGAAATTCATTACGAAAGAACGACTCGAAGACGACCTCGAACTTCACGAAGAGACGACAGAACTTGAAGACATCAGAGAAGACATCGTTAACTATCCGGGCACAGAGTTACTGATAGGATATGTTCCCGCAGAAGGAACCGAAGTTGACGAGTTCTACTTTTGTCTTACAGAAGCGGCTGCCAACAAAGTTACAGACATAATCGCTCAGCTACAAGAACAGCGCGCCGCACGTCTTCAAAACACCGTAGAACGCATAGCAGGGAGATGGTCGTCTTTGGGAAGCGAGGCGGAAGTGGAAGAGCTAATGAACAAATGCAACAGACCCCTTATAGAAGTTGAACTCGAAACCCAGTATCCAATAATTTCACCAAATGTTTATTTTAAATTGCGTCGCGTGGAAGACGCCCGGGACGGTTACGCAGAAATGTTATGCAGACGGTACACCTACAACAACATAACGAAGAAGAGGGTCGATTCTAGCATTCAATCCGCACCTTCAATTGTGAATCGTGCCATACAAACCGTCTTCACCTACCCCAAGAATGCCTGGACGCAATATAGTTACATGTTCGACGTTCCTGCATACGAACCAAAAAAGATGAGACGTTACATTGAACGTTTGTATGCGGAAACTATAAGCCCATTAGAGGAAGATTTACTGATCAATTCCACTATCAATCTGTACAGGAACGATTACCAAAAATTGGTCAATAATCCAAAAGCTTTTTCTCCACCTCCTCCCAGATGTTACAAGGAGTTAGTTTCGTTGCACGATGTATACATGTCAAAAAATAAAGTTGTTGGTTATGTAATGTGGCACCCCATGTGGACCGGCATTATCGCCTTTTCTTACGCAAACATCGCCATAAATGTAACTAAATCCGGCCCATCAAACTTGGACGAAGTTTCCAGGGCCATTTACGAAAACAACGTGGTGTTGCTTTGGAGTACTAAAGACACTTTAAAACCCAGACTCCTTCTGGAATCGCCGAAGGATGTCACCATGCTCAACTTCTGTCCGTTCAATGAAAATATACTTGTTGGTGGTTGCTCTAATGGTCAAATAATCGTATGGGACATCACCAACAAACTAAAGGAAGTGGAAGAAGTGGAAGTTTTAACTATCTACCAGCAGAACTACCGAAAAATAATGTACGACATGATGGACTGGATGAAGATGACAAAAGATGCGTATAGAATTCGGCCAGTTGCTGTTTCCAATATCACTCATAGTCATTCCAATACTGTTACGTCCATCGAATGGATGTATCCCCAGTTTGCCATGAATAAAATGGGTCATATCGAAACACTGGAAGAAGACACGTCTTTACAATTCATTACGGGATCATTGGATGGTTATATCATGTTTTGGGATTTATTGGCTGTACCCACATTGGTCCCAGGAAGCGTCAGACCGCCCCGAAAGCTGAAGCGACTTCAGAAACGTCCGAGCGCCCTGACGATGGACGTATCGCCGTTCAAGATCCTGAATAGGGTCTTGAAACCTTTCTACAAAATCAAGTTGCAGCTGACACCAGACGAAATCAGACCTTTTCCTGTCACGAGTTTTGCCTACAGACTAGTCAAAATGCTATACAAGCAGAAAGATCCAAATCCTGATAAAAAAATGGATCTCATGAACGACAGGTTGTATTTTTATCCTGAGTTAAGACCGCCAGCTGACCCCTTGACCAATGAAATATATGCAGCCACTTTAGAAGGGGACGTGGTTCATTTATCTTGGGAAGGTTACAAATACAGCACCGGCGAAATAGTAACAAGTGAAGTAGGAACCACCATCAACTTCGCAAAATACCATGACGGTCCTGTAGTAAGTCTTGAGCAAAACCATACGTTCAAAGACGTTTACCTTTCTGTTGGAGGTAAAGTTTTCGCAGTGTGGAAAAAAGGATTCAATGACCAACCGGTTTTCTGGAGGAGATCAAAATCAAGATATACTTCCGGAATCTGGATGAAAGCTATGAGTTCGCACATAATTTTGGTTAACGAAAATGGCGTCAAAGATATCTGGAACATTGACCTACGCAGTTCCTCTCCCATATGGTCGGAAAGAACATACAACGTTCCCATTCTACAAACTGTTACGCATCCGTTCCCGTTCAAAACGAACATCTTGGCTCTCTCGACTGGCAGTGCATCTGTCAACATTTTTTTATACAACACAAGTCTAGGATCTTCTCCAGCAAAAAGCATAAAAGGATTCAAAAATTTAATAGATCGAGAGATAAAAAGAAAGACATTATTCAGAGAATGGCAAAAAATGTGGGAAGTAACACATCCTGAAAGAGTAGCGCATGTTATCGAGGTCGAAAACGGCAGAAAACGGTTATTTCAGCAGCAACAACGAAAAGGTGGAGCGGTACAGGAAGAAGAAATTGTCGAAGAGAAAACAGAGGAAAAAGTGGAAGAGGAGCCTAAACCAGAAAAGGAACAGCGCTTAACAGCCGAACAACTCCAGCAACAGTGGAAGGAAAAAGAAAAGGACAGGATGATCAAAATAATGCTATCACTAAAACAGATGAACCCTGAACTCCTGCAGCAACAACAGATTCCTCTCAAAAAGCTAGAAGAGGAAATAGCAAAGAAGAACGAAAAAAAAGAAGACTATCGCGGACAAGCGGAAGAAGTGTTCAATAAAGCTGTTGCAATGAATTTCCCGGAAGCAATTCGACCAAAGACACCCCCACCACCAGATCCATACGCAGGAGGCGATATGGACAAAGAAGAATTAGACAACTGTGTCCAGCAATACGAAAAATTATCGGAGGAACTGACCAAGTCCATCAAGCCGCACATTTACAAATTTAACTGGACCAACTTGCTGGATTATGGACGAAATATACGAAAATATTTGGATGTGGAACTTTCGGATGAACAAGAGGGTCATAGGGCACGATTTGAAAAGTATAAAATGAGCAGATTGAAAGAAAATGTCATTGGAAAGTTAGAGAAAGCTCGGGCGAGGAAGATGAAAAAAGTCATCAGATATGTTACAACAGAAGACGGAGAAGAAGAGGAAGAAGAAGTCGAAGAAGAAATAATCGAAGAAGATGTTAATGAAGATGAATTGGACGTCGACGAAACGGTAGAAGAAACAATAGATACGGAAACATCTGAAGCATAATATATACATATTATATCTATAAGGCATGTGCCCATTATTTATTTTNGTTTCTGGTTCGCGTTAAATTAAATTAGTTGCCCTAAAATAAACTAGTAATTATTGCGGTAGGCATTTTTAAATTAACGTGAAATAACATTGATTAAATTGAATTCCAAGTCCTCTGCGTTTGTAAGCTCCTATAAACACCCTAAACATCAATAAATATAGTTGATTGTGTTAGAAGAGTTTGTTTATAGTTTATAAAACGAAATTCCATGTTGGCGGCAATAGCAGCTAAGGGAAAACCTTTTTTTTTATTCACAAGTATTTAAATAGATTTTCAATGTGCAAGTAATTTGGCCCAAGAATTAAAGTGTATCATAAATTAAATTGGTTCTAAATTCCCTAGGTCTAGGGTCTGACAACACTAGACAAAAATTTAATGCGTTAGTGGACATCTTTCTCTCCCTTACTTACTGATTGTAAAGACAGAGAGAGAGTTTTCTCTTACAACATTATTCCATATCCCAATGTTTCAAAGATGGTCCAGGAATCTTTACATTTTCACTGTTACTTTTACCTTAACTATTATTCTGGGAAAAGGACTTTTCCATGACAACCCTAGTTACGATATAAATAATTTGAAGTCCAATGTATTCAATAATCTTATGGCATACATACATCTCCTTACTACTAAGTTTAACTTATCCACGTCAAAAATAGTTACTAGGTATACCTATAATAATAACTCATATTTATAGCTTTAGAGACTATAACCCCGTCATTGCTACCAGTTTAAATTTAAAAATATTTCTCCTAAGTCATAAAAAAGCATTTTCTTTTGAAGAGTATTTATCAATACGTATCTATACATATTTTATTAATGGTTGTTTTTGTTGGAACTTTTTGATATCCAATGCGAATTTTTTTTTACTAACGTCAAATAACAATATTTTAAAGGTTTCATATTTTTGAATTACATTTATAAATATTATATTCCTCAAGGCAAAAAAGGTAGACATATAAAGGTAAACACCTACGTAGCATGTCCATTTTTCTACTTTGTTTTTTAATCAAGCTTTAAAAGGAATTTTATTTGGAAAATGTGTGCTAGTTCTTGAATTCTACAGTATTTCTAACATTCCAAGAAGTCATAGATTGTTTTATCTCATATCAAGATTTCTTCGTACGAAAGCCGTTTTGTCCTTGATTGTGTACTGACCCAACATTAAATGCGATAACAATTCCAACGATATACGTAATGTAAAATTGAAAATTTTTTGTTAATGATAATAATATTCTAAAAGTAAATAAGACTTTTTTTAAATCACGTAAGAAAAGACGTATTTGCCCTAAATATTGACGAAATGCTCAAAAACACCAATAAAGATGTAACGAATCGTTAAAGCGTAACTCATCTTTGCAGAAAATAATTTCACTCGAATTGAAAGAAAGTAAAATAACAAAACAAAAACGTTCTTACCGTTCTCGTCTTTAATTACATTTTAATAAATCAGGCAGGTACCGTCTTTGGATTTCATCGTCAGAGGATATTAGAAAGACACTCTGCCGCCACACTGGCGATTCTACGGTGAAAAGTACTCAGCGTTTCACTTTAACCACGACCGGCAATTTTTAAGTTTAATTAAGCCGTAATTCGTTTCCGTTTCCACGATTTTTTCCGTCAATCTCTTTAAGACTCGGCGGCGACGGGTTGCTCAGGCACAAACTACGCCAGCCATTATTACATAAATGCAAAGCGCATCCCCGGAAAACTCATTCAATTAAGACCTCGCAATAAAACTTAATTTTGCGGCTTCATACAACGGTTAAGACGGTGGTTTATTAAGACCAGAAAAGTGCAATAAGTACAAGTCCGCCATAACCAGGCGTGCATGGCGTGTACCGCACGCGGGCAGAACGTTCAGCGTGGCGGCAGTTATTACAGTTGCTATTTAAAAATATAATTAGAAATTTAGAAAAGAATGCAGAATGTAGAGTTACAGGTAAGTAATAAATTCGTCGTAAATAGATGAAAATCTGGACAATGTGAAGAACAGCACCTTTACACAAGAATTTAACTACACATTTTGTACCCTTTAATAGTATTCAAGTTGAAATACAGAGTGCGCCTGTGCATCTTTGTTTCATTTTTGGTTTTATACTTTTATGAATCTAAGTTTGACCTATTCTTATCATCCAATTCGATAATCGACTTGTATGCGGGTATGATATCCCATTACTTTTCTGGTATGCAGTAAAAGAATAAAAGACAGGACAAAAACAAAGGTTCAAGTTTCGGTCCTTCTCCATGAGGGGTTCAAAGTGCGAATGCAGAGGATTGAATACCAATGTAAACCGCACAGGTCGTTTATTTCTTTTCTTTCCTCTCTCCATTGACATTTTCTGGAATGCCACGTCGCAAGGGAAATATTCCCGTTGTTAAAGTAATTTGAGCACCGTCGCGACGACCAGTGAAAGAGAGGCACTGGTCACTTTAATGTGAATATATGAATAACAGATACAACAGTTTTAAATTGAAAAATTATTAATTATAATAATAAATTATACGTAAACAATTATTATACGTAAATAAACGCAAATGGTTAAGGATGTGGGTTGTTCTAGTTTTAGGGAAATGCGAAGATTAGTTCAGGATAGGAAGGAGTGGAAGTGCGTGTCCTACCAGTCAGACCTAACGGCCTTATGATGATGAAATTAAAGTCTAAATCTGGAAAAACTTCCAAAGGAAGCATACTAGCGCCATCCTACAAAGATACTGTTAACAAATACATCAATATAAACAAAAAGGATCAATCGTTTACAAGAACAAAAAAGAAATTGCTGCAATTATGTCTACGCATGGTACAAGAATCCCCAAAATAACAACCCTAATTTAAGCTGAATTTCCGAAAATTCTTTTAATGCATGTTCTGCTTTGAAAAATTATTTTCCAACGCACTAATTAGACTTTTCTCTCCTGAGCCTTTTGAAAACTTCATACAAGCGCCATCTTGCAGAAACTGCGTTAACAAAATCGAAGTATCACTAATAAATAATTAACCGTATTATCTGCATAATTAATGGTAGAAGGCTTTACTTGTTTAAACTCCATAATCAATTAAATGGAATAAAAGTAAAGTTTCAAAAACATATGTTAATTGTTCATAACAATTATTTCGCCATTACATTAGCTTCTTCAGGTGAAGATATTTGAAACTTTACTTTCGTTTTCTTTAAGTTATTATGAAGTTTCAAAAAGTAAAGCCTTCTACCATTAATTATCCAATGTTGTTTTTGCAATAATTGTATAATGTTTAGTTTGTTCTTCCAAGTGGCATTGTGATTAATGCGTTCACTTTTACGACTGAATTCGCGAGAAATCTGTGAAATGGACAAATAAAAATAAGTGAAACTTTCTGAGTCAACTGTAAACTTTTAAAATTGGGAAGCTCCGTAAAAGGACAAGCTAGTGTTGGAGTAAGAGACTGCTCCAATTTCATTGTTTGTTCTCTCTAACGTTCCACCTCTTGAGCTGATGTCACTTGTACGCCTGCCTTCCTCTAAAGGGCCTTTACTTACTCCCAACACGAAGGACTATTCCGATATTAAGTTATAAAATTTCAGCCCTCAGTTCTTTGAACTATTATTCTAAACGTTGCTGTCTCCAACAAAGGGCTAATCCATTAGCGTTTAGGTAAATACTACACGGAGAAAACTAAATTTTTATGACAACGCAAACATTACAATTTTCGATTGTGAAAGACTGAATTTGCCGTAGAAATACAGTCAAAACCGTTTACTACGACATCGGTTAGAACAACATACCGGTTATATTCACCAAAATCATAGGTCCCGGCTTAATTCTGTTAGACCGCCTTATAAAAAACACTGGTTTTTACGACATTGCTTATTACGACATATCTCTTTAAGCGACTACNTTTTTCGCGACAAATGAACGAAAACAGAAGCCGAATGACGATTGTCAGTCTCGTTGAATTGTATTGTAAGAAAAGGAAGTGTTCGTCCAAATGTGGACGTGTTACGGTGAGGATTGTTGATTTTCATTTAATTTGTCTATTATTATATTTCTTTCCTTTTTTTAAATTAAGTGGAAAAGTGATTTTCCCTACTCGTCTTTTTTTTTTTCGAGGGCAATACTAAAAAAAAGATTTTAAGTTTAGCTCACGCTTTATTAAATTTTCCCCGATGTAAATTGAATTGTACACACTTATACAGCTTATTATCACTATTATTATACTATTATCATGCTAAAAACAAGAGAGCATGTATAATAGTCTTGGTAATTTTATATGGAACTCCCAGCCTAATATTCGTTTTATATAATTATAATAAAGTGTGTATGTGTTATTACTACTATTATTATTATTATCATCATGTCGTCATTGTTAAGTAATCAGTTTATTCTCATTTTTTATCATTATTTTTATTGTTTATTTCGTTCTTTCGTTTTGTAAATATTTGCAATTATCGTAGGAACTCTTAATTTAAACGTTTTATGTATTTGAGTGTCAAAAAGTAAACATTAAAATAAATCTTCTGCATTTTCAATTAATTTTACTGTCTTTTATTTCGAATCGTAACCAAAAATGATTATTTAGATCAATATTGTAATTCCTATTTTTAACGTCTTTGTGAAAGGACATATAAATTGATTCACCCTGTATATGATGATTATAATTATTGTATTCTAACGATTAATTTATTGACCCGCGTCATAATTCTAATTTAACAGTCGTACCAGTTACTATCATGTCTTTAAACATATTCAATAAAGACAACAGAAAATGTTTCTTTATTGCTGAGATCGGCCAAAATCATCAGGGATCCATAAATATTGCAAAAGAGTTAATAAAAAAAGCAAAGGTGAGTTGTTTTGTAAAGTAAAATATGTTTATTGTATTATAATAGTGATAATTTATTTCCAGGAATGCGGAGCAGACTGTGTTAAATTTCAAAAGACATGTTTGCTAGAGAAATTCAACAGAGCAGCTCTAAATCAGCCCTACAATAATAGAAATTCGTGGGGGAAGACTTACGGTGAACATAAAGCATTTTTAGAATTTTCAGAGGACGAGTTTCTTGAACTTAAACAATGTGCTGACGAAAATAATATTTTATTCACAGCTTCCGCAATGGATTTAGTTTCGTTACATTATTTAAATAGCATTGAAGTTCCGTTTATAAAAATCGGGTCTGGAGATGCTAACAATTTTATTTTGATAGAGGAGGCCGCCAAATTAAATAAACCTTTAATTATATCAACAGGTATAAATATATAATACGTAAAAAATCGCACTTTAGAAATGTATGGTCTATTTATTTTTTTTATACGCTCCCAAAATCTACACAGGTATGCAAGATTCGATAACTGTTGACAAAATATACAAAATAGTTTCCGAATATCATNGAAAATGCTTTTACATTAACATTGTATTTATTGATTAGTTAGTAGAACAAAAAAAGAAATAATTATATGATTGTGGACAAGATTGTTTCACTGCTCTAAACACTGTTTAAATGTATTTTTTATGAACTTTTATCACATATCACTGCACCAAATACTATAAAAATTTGAAACAACCACAACGGTATTAAAAACATACTTACCATGATATGTGCACTTAAAACGATAATTCGTTTATAATATGAAATGAAAACAAGAAAAAATAAATGAAGTGTTTATTGAAATAATAAAAACAAATACATTTATCAAAAAAGAAAAAACATACACGAAAGTGAACTAAAAAAAAGAAAACTATAATAAACTTATTAGTAGGTAAAAGAGAAGAAAATCATACACCAGATAAATTATAATAAATTACAGGAGAGAAAAATTAATCAATGATATAATTAGGATGCACCACTAACAAAGGATCTTCCTCCTCATTTTCATCGTCTCTTCGAGCTCCAGATCTTAGAGGGATAATAACTTGGTCCTGATATCAAAAAAAAATATTCACTATAACAACCTTTCTAACTAAATAAGACTATTCAACGAACGTAACCAGTAAAAAACAAATAAAATAATAAATCGTCCATAAAAGCGTTAAGACCAACTTCATACAAGTTTTATGGACAATAAAAATAGAAAATAAAAGATACAATACTAACGTTATGTTATTGTATTAAAATATAACAACAAAAAACAAAACGATTTATAGTACTTACGTGATAGATAAGTCTATCGACTATTTTCTCTATCATCTCCTTCTTTTCTACTAGTTCATCTTCACTTTCAATTTGGTCGGAAATTAAATTTAAATACCAGGCAATTACATCACTTCTGTGAATGCCTTCCTTATTTTCTATAAGACAACAAAATAAAGATCAGTTAAATAAAAAAATAAATAAATAGAAATCTATAAACAGAGCACTTTCACTACCCCTCTTCAAACCCCTTTACAGTAGAAATAATAGTAATGTTTTATTTTAAAGTTTTTAGTATTAGTGATTGCAAAAAAAACTTCTTTTTTACATTTTTTTTTTTTTTTGATAAAGATCCCTTACAAACGAACTTGTTCCTTAAATTCTATTCTAAAGTAAATTAATGGTTTCATAGGTATCACTAAAGCCCACAAACCCTTACTAGAAGAAAACAATAAAATCATACCCTCTTCTAATCTCGCCTCTTCTCTACGCATATGTACTATGATCATATTACTAAGCGTTTTATACTCTTCAAAACTCAAGACCAACTTTTTCTTCGGAGGAGGAGCAGGTTCTTCAGTTTCCTGTATTGTTTCGTCGTCCCCTTTGTCTCGCATTTCGTCGTCTTCGTGCTGAACGTTTGGCTCTTCATCTAGATAAATGTCCGGCTGTTCAACCCTTATAATAGATTTATTAAGTAATCGAAAAGCTTCATTGACATGTTTAGGCCTGACTTCATCTGACACCTCCATCCTGGCCATCGCTTCAGCTAATCGTATCATGCTCTCAAGTTGGCGAACTGTTATCCTCCAGGTCGACTTTCCAGTCGACGTGCTATCTCTAAGACGCAGGTGACTGTAGTGGCGCACCAAAAGCTCAGCTGCTTCTTTATTTATAACCGGTTTAAATTTTCTTGCGAATGTTATGTAATGCAAGACCTCCTCTTTGGAATAAACCCTTTCAATTGACTCTTCGATGTTGCTGTGCAGATCAACAATTTTTCTAGCGATAGCGTAATCGACTACTTCGTTACATTCGTCCACGAGAATGAAAAAGAGATCGAAACGAGACATTATGGGTGCAGAGAGTGCTATGTTCTGTTGGAGGGACTTGGCACGGTCGTAACGGCCGCCAATGGGGTTTGCCGCCGCTAAAATCGACGTTCTCGCATTCAATGTGGCCCTCACCCCCGCTTTCGCCAATGAAATGGTTTGCTGCTCCATTGCTTCGTGGATAGCCACTTGATCTCTTAAGTCCATTTTGTCGAATTCATCAATACAACACACGCCGTTATCGGCCAACATTAAAGCTCCAGCTTCTATAACGAAATCTGACGACTCTTCATCTCTGACCACAGCAGCCGTTAAACCAGCAGCCGAGGACGCCTTCCCTGAAGTGTAAACAGCTCGAGGAGAAAATTCCGAAACCTACAGAAGCACAAGAAAAAATTACAAATAAAATTTAACAACTCTTTCAGAATTACCTGTTTTAAAAACTGTGATTTGGCTGTACTAGGATCTCCAACGATGCATACGTTAATGTCACCCCTTAAGGTCGTTCCTTCGACTGTTGTCTTTGAAACGCCCCCAAATAACATCAGCAAGATACCTCTTTTCACTTCCTCATTACCATAAATGCTTGGAAAGAGACTGGTGATTAAATTTTGATAAAGATTCTTGTCATGGCTCATTTCGTACATGTGTCTCCACTCGGCTTCAGACATCTGGTTGCGCATCATTTCAGGCGTAATCTCGTCCGCAGGTAGCTCAATGCCTCCAAATCGGGGATTTGTAGCTTGTATGCTGCACGCCAAAAATGCCATACGATAATGCAGGTCACGAACTCCTAGTGCCTTAAGGCCCCGTACTCCATCTATATCATCACCTGATTTATGATGCGAATCTAATTGAGCCTTCGCCCCCGGTAGCGATATGGAACCGACATCAGGAACGACAATCAATGTCCCAGTAAAGTCATAACGATCACCAGCCTAAATAAGAATAAAAATTATAAGAATGTGATATAAACAATAGCACAACTGATAGTTGTACCTGTACAGTTTCTACGTTTTCTGCTCGTAATATAATCTCAACACTGCGAGGAATGCAACCCCTTGGTAATTCTGCTTGAGTCTCCTGGATCCTAACTTTTTGAAAATCAACAAAAACTGATCTATCCACATCCAGCATAAATCTTCGTCGGTTGTTACAGGCTGGATTACGACATATTGTAGGATTTGTGAACTAAAACCAATAAAATGTCCAGATAAACATGCCAAATATGTGTACAACTTGAGCATCGAATTTACCTTAAATTGTTGCTCAACATTCTTTATAACAGTTTGACAGTCAAGGCAAACAAAGGTACCTAACACTAATTCTGGATGAACTGGATGTGACCTAATAACCTGACCAGAAATTCTAATCAATGTACCAATCTTCTCACTCTTTAACTCTCTGACTTTGTGCCTTGTGGGTACATCTACAAAACTCACATAACATTCTTTTTCTTTCTTAAAATCACTTCTATCTTTAACAAAATTGGACACTGCCTGGCACAAATATGGATAGATTCTGTAATACTCTTCAATTATAGTCGTTGACAAATTTTGGTTATATCTTTCTATGTCTTCAAAATTCACTTCCAATGTACTTCGTTCTTGTTGTAACAGCTCTTTAGCTGGTTCTAAATATTTTACTTCGTCGTCTTCTTTGTATCTGTAATAAGTTTAGTTAAATTTGCAAACAACCTGATGTGTAGGGTAACGAAAACATACTCTTCAAGAAAATCTTGAAAAAGCTTCTGACATCTGAACCCAACTTCGTCTTTTACTCGATTTTGAATCACTTGAGACTCAACCACATCCATTTCTACTTATTTTTAAAAGTATTTTAAGTTTTTCCAATAAATCTGTCTTTGCAGGTTATTGTTTATAAACTTACCCGCGCAAAAACTAACCTTGAACCTTATAGTAATACCAACAATCAACGAATTGACCATCAATTATACGACAAGCAAAAACCCTATGCAATAGAAAACCATATACCATATCTATGAAAAGTATCTATGAGGAGTATCTATGCGAAACATGAAGAAAAATATTGCATAACCTCACACACAACTCACATAACCTTATGAATCTAGGTCTATGACATATAGACATAACCCTCTTCTAAATCAGAAATACTGCTTAAAAATGTTTAAAAATTAATATTTTAAGACTGTTACCAGGCGAACTTATAAAAATGTCGAATTTTAAGAGACTAAATACCAAAATTTATAAGAAAAGCGGCCCAACAGTAACCCCAGATAGTATTTACTGGAAGAAATTAAAGGTAGGTTTGCAAACCTTTCTTAGTTTTTGATTTATTGTTGCCTCTTAGCCTCCTGTTTTAGTCAAAGAGTTTGGGCCAATAGACTACATTGACTTTTCCCCAGTAGAACCGTATTACTTTGCAGTGACTTGTTCTGTCCGAGTTCAAATCTATAATCCAATAACTAAAGTAGTGGCAAAAAATTTATCTCGATTTCGTGAAGCAGCATATGGAGCAGTTTTCAAATCCGATGGTCGTCTACTATTGACAGGAAGTGAAGAAAAAAATGTGAAATTATTTGATGTGTCTACTAAAAGTTTACTTAGACTGTTTAAAGGTCACACAGCTGCAGTACACAGGGTCAATTTCTTACCTGGACAACTGCAAATAGCTTCTTATTCAGACGATAAAACGGTCAAAGTATGGGACATACCTACAGAGAAGAATCTAATTACATATGAAGAGCATACAGACTATATTCGAGCAGGTGTTGTAAACCCTACAGTTGAAAATACCTTTATCTCTGGTGGATATGATGGACAGATAAAAATGTTTGATATTCGGACTGAAAAACCGATTTTTAGTGTATCACATGGGTCTCCCGTTGAAGCACTGTTATTTGTTCCAACAGGAGGAGCATTTTTATCTGCTGGGGGTACAGATATTAAAATTTGGGATCCACTAATGGGTGGTAAACTTCGTGGATCCATTTCTCAGCATCATAAAACAATAACATGTTTAAGAATGGCCACTGACAACAAAAGACTGTTAAGTGGTAGCCTTGATAGGCATGTTAAAGTTTATGATATAAATACTTATGAAGTGGTCCACACAATGGACTACTCAAATGCAATATTAAGTTTAGATATATCGAAGAATGACGACACCTTAACAGTAGGTTTAGTAGATGGCTTAGTTTGTGTCAGCCGAAGGGAAGAAGACATTCAAGAGAAACCAGTTCAGAAAAAGAAGAGGGCATCTTATCGCTACACGTCGTACATCAATTTTTACGATGCGGATTTGGTAGTAGAACCAGAGATAAAAGAGAAAGAAGCCAAATATGATAAAAGTCTTAGAAAATTCATGTTTTCAAAGGCTTTAGATCAAACCTTAATTCCCTACGTAGCTAATAAGACACCCGAAGTCGCAGTTACTCTGATGCAAGAACTAATGAGGCGCAAAGTTTTGGAAAAGGCATTTGCCGGTCGCACACCAAAATCTATTCTCTCGATATTAAAGTTTATACATAAAAATATTGTAAATTATCGTTTTACACGAGTTCTAATCGATGCATTTAACGTTTTTTTAAACGTTTATGAGAATAGTTTGGATGAAATGCCCGCAAATGTTTGTACAATTTTAATAGAAATAAATAAGTTACTAGCTGAAGAACTTAATTTGTTAAATCAATTAGCGGAGCTACAAGGATCAATGAGCATGCTCCTAGCAGCAGCAACTTCTGCATCCGATGTAGATGTTTTAAAAGATAAAAGTACTCTTTCCCTAGTACCGAGCGAGAATGCTCGAAAGAATTTTGTTGTTAATATTTCATAACAAATCGTTTTGCAATAAACTTTTCTATTTAAAAACGTTATTTTATTATTATTTAACCATCATTTACCTTATATTTAAATATTTACGGTTTTGTTTCGGCGTGTTCACTCAAATATTAGCTAAATCGCAAGTAATCGAAGTAATCGTCATCCTGTAAGTATGTAAAAAAACAATTAGTAAAAAAGAATAGTTCCCTTTTCTAAACAAAAGCGGAAGTCGCCATTTTGTTTAAGAAAACGAAATTCGAACCGCCATTTTCTTTTCATAAGTCACCATTTTTTCAAAAAAAGACGCAAAAATTTATTAAATTCACTTTTTATTATAAAAATCTTTAATAGAGTCAATTTTATTTTGTATAATTTCTAATGTATTGCAGAACTGTATTAAATTACCTTCATTAACAGTGACTATATCTGTTTCTGAAGAATTTTGGGTGATATCTCTTAAATTAAACTGTATTTTAGCTGTAGGAATCATTGACATTGAATGTATGTTGGATGATGTTTGTAGATTCAACTCCCATATAATATCCTCCAGCTCATTTTTACCCTCTAAATTTTGAAACTGACTCCCTGTTTGTTTTACCCATATCCTTAGAAATTCCTTAGCTTTATCTCTTGTTAATTGTAAAGGCTCCATCAGTTGTTCAAGTAAACTTGTTGGTTTTAACATCACCTGAGACATTCTTTGCATTAAATATTGTGCTGTCTTTATAACTAAATTAGTTTTCTCTTTATTCAGTACAAATAGTTTTTCATAAGGTGCTAATTTTTCAGAAGAAAATGTCCCATTATCTTTCAAGGTCACTATTTCATCAAGAAGATTACAAACATCTTCCGTTTTTAAAGAATTTATTAATTTAATTCCTTCTAATAATCTAAAATTAGATAAAATTAACTTTATTTCATATATCTATATTAAATGTAACACCTACTTTGCATTCACTTGTATCCATGTCAGACTCATCCTTATAATGTTTTAATAAGGTATTATATATATCGAATAATTAGATATTAATAGAAGAATTAAACTAAAAAACATTTATTGTAATTATTAGAACACAACTTTTATTATTTTTTTTACCTGATCCTTCGATATCTCTTCAATATTTAATATCTATGTTATCTTTGCTTTTTTTTTTTTGGTATTTCATTCATACAATCTTTCTTAGGTTCGTCCTGTTAAAACCTGGTATCGGGGCTTAATTTATTTCATAAATCCAGAAATAAATTTTTAAACCTTACTGTATATCTCTGATTGTAGGTTTTAACCAGGTTTTTTCATTGTCAAGAAGGTATTGTTTGCACATTGTTGGATGTTGAATGAGCCATGGACATAGATAATAGCCATGGATGGATAAGCGGTCATCATAGAGCGTTGATAATTTACATTTTAATTCCAAAAGCTTCAAACCCAGGTTTTATCTCTATGGATCTTATCAATACACATGTCTGTTCCCGCCTGTCTACAGCATTTTATTAACGATCACATTTTTCTTTTGTGGAAGTTATAAATTTAGTATATTTTTTTATTTTAAATAAGCTGGGCTAGTGAATATACACAATTCAAAATGTTTTGGGGTAAGTATATTTAAATTATCCTCTTTCTAACGTTTTTAAACCTTAATCTGTGGAGACGGTACATGCCGGTTCTTTGGCACGTGTTTATAATGTTAAGGAATCATTTTGATGTTTCTTTTTTTCACTACATCTCCTACTTTAAGGGCTTATTATGGAACCAAAACGACGTTACACACAAGTTGTAAAAAAGGCATTTCATATATCAATGGCCTCTCTTGATATCACATCAGGCAATAATGAACCAACACAGGTTTTACTAACTTATGATGGTCGAAATTACCTTCTCTGCACTTTACAGAAGGAAAAAGACATACAGGTGCCCCTTGACTTAAATTTTGAAGTAAGAGTTGTGCTGCTTTTGTAATTAACCAAGTTATGACAATGTTGCGTTCATATAGGAAGGAGATGAAGTTTCTTTTGCTACCAATGGCAGTTGTCATGTCCATTTAACTGGTTATTTAATAACTGATGAAGATGAAGTTGATGAAGAGGAGGATGAGGAAGAAGATCAAAAGGAAACTATGATAAACAGTCCAGAAAATGTACTAAAAAAGAGCTTGGAGAAGAAAAAGAGGAAAAGTAGTGGAGATAGCAGTCCTAATGGTATTGACCTTTACCATTGCTTTTGAGAAATACGGAATAAATATTTAATTTCAGATTCACCTAAAAAGTCAAAAACAGCACAATTGCTTGAGGCTGTAAATAGTGATAGTGATGATTCAGATGATATGAATTTTTCAGACATATTAAAGGAAGAGGGTTTAGAAGAAGAAGAAAGTGGAGATGATGAAGAAAATGAAGAAGAAAGCAGTGATGAAATTGCTGCTGAAGGAAGTGAAGATGATGAGGTATGGGTATTCTTAATTGTTTTGCCTTTTTTGGACATATTTTGTTTTCTTTTTTATATAATTATTCAAGAAAGGTGAAGATGGTGCAGAAGAAGAGTCAAGTCTTAGTGATGATGCCTTTGAGCCTGAAAAACCAAAAGTAAATGGAGTGACTCCTAAGAAAAAAGAAAAAAAACAAAACCAGGAAAAGACACCTAAACAAAATCAACAGAAAACTCCCAAAAAGGAACTTGGAAAGACCCCAAAAGAAGCAAAATCAGCCCAGAAAGAAAAGAAAACAGAAAAAGGAGAGAAAACTCCATCAAAAGAACAGTCAATGCCACAGGCTAAAAAGAAAATTCTAGAAGGAGGAGTTCAGGTTCAAGATCTAGTTGTAGGAAATGGTCAACTTGCCAAACCAGGAAAATTGGTTCAGGTAAATAACTTCTTCATTTTTTAAAAGGTTTCTTACTACTTAATAACATTTCTTTAAAATAGGTTTACTATGAAGGAAGGCTAAAAAACAACAACAAAGTCTTTGACTCAGCAAAGCAGGGCAGTGGCTTTAAATTTAGATTGGGCAGCCAGGAAGTAATTAAGGGATGGGATGTTGGTATTCAGGGTATGAAAGTTGGCGGCAAAAGGCGAATTGTTTGCCCTCCAAATATGGCGTAAGTGTTTTAATAATATTTGATAATGGAAAAAACTATTGCTTTTTAATTATTAGGTATGGCCAAAAAGGTTCACCTCCTGTTATTCCTTCAAATTCAACACTTATTTTCGAAGTTGAGCTTAAGAATGTTCATTAAATGTTTGGTTTAAGTTTTAAGTCATTTCTTTTTTTAAAGTAATGTTTTGCATATTTCATTACTAGAATATTGTTAAGAAAAAAATGTATATTTTTAGGTATTTCTGATAAGGAATGTGTTTTGAACATGTGGATTACCTTTTTCTAAATAAAACTTTTAAATATTTACGAGGGTTTAATTATAATAAAACGGAAAACATACCAGGAATGCTACATAATATGATTAAATGCAAAATATCTTTAACATCACAGCTTCTAAGATATTCAGACAGCATTGAACTGTACAATTAAAAAGACTGCAATAAAACTAAATTTATACAATTATTATTGGTAAACTAACTTAATGCAATAATAATATATTTACTAAGATGATTATTTGGTCTTGGGATTTTCAGCTGAACTTTGAATTGTACATGACTCTGTTCCATTCTTTGAGACACACTCAGGACAATATTTCTCAAGAAAACTTCTGCTTTCTTCACTTATTTCGTCCGAATTTTTACTTGATGCCCATGGATTCCAAAATTTAAGGATAATTGGTTGAATAAATCGATGAAAAATAAATAACAACAATGGAATAATAAAGCACGGAATACAAGCAGCCATTTTTTTGATGAATTTCACGTATTATTTACACTCGGCCCTTAAATTTAATTTCACGTGATTTGAAGTTATTATTCTAGTTGTTACAGTAATTAATTTAATGAAAAGTGAAGATTTTATAAATAAATTATTAAAATAATGTCAGTGGTGACAGTTCACTCTATGTAAATATAACCTTACAATTTCTGTTTTAAAGTTCGAAATTGTAGTTCACAAATTTTTCCTTTAGAACTACAAAACGGAAAAGCAAATTAATTTAACAATTTTTTGCTTTAAACTATAATAATGATATGTAATAGCTAAGAAAAAGAAATATAGATAGATTAACAGCCTTAAACCTAATATAGATCTCTATGTATATCTATTGTCTATGTCTAGATCATCTCTAGATCATAGAAAAATCTAGATCTTTATCATGAACCATGGTAGTGTCGCAATAACGCAGTAGACGACTGCTTCAACAGAAATTTAAAAGTTACAAAAAGAATCAAACAAAAGAATGTTAATTGTCTCAAGTTATTCTTTATGATTACCTCTGCTTAAACATTGTTTCTTTTAGTGTATTAAAAAATAAGAACTGATCTTTAGATAACTTTTTATTTTTATCAATCGACAAGTTATTTCGGATTAAAATGTTGCAAATTTAGACTATTGCGTTGCATTATATAATTATTTTCTGATATCACATTTTCCTGTTATAGAAAAGTAATAAAATTATCAGAAAAAAGGTATTTTATGATATGATCTTTTTAAATCAGTGTAAGGCTCCGAAGTTGATCTAGTAACCACTGTCGTAAGAAGAGTTAAAAATAAAAAGCAAATCAATTAACGTAAATAAGTTTTTGTTAAAAAAATTAGACAAAACAAAGAACTGTATGTGAATAATAGACCTGGAATTTATTGTTTTGGATTTCTAACCCTGCACATTTTATTTTGTTTAATACAGTTTCAAACAATATTCTATGAACTCGGAAGAAAAATCTAATAGTGAAGACGTTGCTTCAAGGTACACATATCAAACAGATCTCAAAGAATACAAATGCTATTCCAATAAGAGTAATTGTTCTAAAGTCCTTTTTTAGAAACTTAAAAATAACGTTAAAGATAGGTTAAGTTAACCTGTATGAAATTTTGAATGTCATCGTTTCATCGTCATTACATTTTATTTTTAAATACTTCCTTTGTTAGTTTGGGTCAAAAACCTTCCCATAACAACGCAGATGTCTTTATTAGTCTGCTTGTTACCTTGGTGCGTGCAATGTCTTCAAATGTTTACGTTTTAGGATTGACCAAGAGGCTTCGTCTAGTGCTGTTGGAAGTGACTCTGAATCATCAAATTCAAGCGATAAAAAAGACGATATGAAGCGTGTAGCAGCAAAAAAACTAATAGAAAAATATTTTTATCAATTGACAGACGGTTGTGGTAATCCTGCCTGTGATAATAAATACTGTGCATCTAGCGAAGAGGTATAAGTGTGCTATTCTGCTTAGTTCATATTATCGAACACATAATAAACCCTTGGTTAAGTAAAGACTTAATTTTTACATATTTTTTTACTTTCAACAGTGGTATACATTTTGGTAAGTGACAAAGCTAAATGTTCAATTTTATATTGTGTTTCTTTGCTGCAGCTTGGTAGGGAAAAGTATAATATAGTTTTAAGTATCTAATGCATACTTCATAATCAACATTTTGTTGATGAATGTTGATGAACAAAGAAAAATTGCTTTTATATGTAGATATACTTATATTGGTATTTTTCTTTGTACCCCTCAGACAGAGTTAAAATGTACCTTTGTATGGATTACTGTTTTGTTCCTATGTCTTTGAAATGTTCTACTTGTGTTGCAGTTTATTTACAAAGTTGAAAATCTTACTCCAAATCAAGCAGCTGCAGAAGCAATCCAGCTTTTCTCACAAGACGCCCGGTTATGTGATAGGCATCCAAACAAAATGCCAAGAACTCACAATGAAAAAAGACTCTTGGGCAGTATGTCCAATAGGATCAATCACAAGAATCCTGTAACACCTTCAAATGATATAATGATAAACAATAGCTCTAACAGTAAAAACAGATTTAAAGAATTTAAGAAAGGTAGCCATTTAATCCCACGTAATTAGTAGAAAAGGATTTTCCTAAAGTCTTTGTTCTCTTCTTAATTTTGTAGAAAAGACAATTCCTTTTCTAACAGAAGAAAGACTGTTCGAAATCCTGGACGATTGCGAAGAACACAAAAATTATGCGAGGCTTATTCGCACCCTAGGAGAGATTTACTCAAGTATTGATTCACTTTCACGCAGTTTTCTGCAATCAGATACCTCTCCCGTACCTGACATTCTGGACAGAGCTGCAGGTACATTTCGGCGTTCCCTCAAATAATGAAAACTATAACTCCAAAGTTCTTGCAGGCGATCTTAGCGGTCTTAAAAAGGAGGTAGTTCGTTCTTTGGAAGGGGAAAAGGACAAGGACGAAGACAGTTGCATGGTGTCCCCTTCGAGCGATCGTGGCACCAAGTCCAACCTACCAGTAGACCTGCCCTCCGTTCGAAGAGCTTACACGGCCCTCTTCAAACTTCCTACATCTATATTCGAAAATGCCTTAGTCAATGCACTAGTCACTTTAGCCGGAAACTTGCAAATGGAATTGACCGCCAGGATGAATCAGTACTCTGATGACGACATTATTAACACTTTATTGATCGTCTTTGAGATACCAGCACTGGGTAAAGATTGGTTTGATAATTATCCCCTTTTATGGAACTCTTTTCTCTTTTCGTTTCCTTAGCCTTGTCTACTCTAGTTTAATATGACCTAATCTAGTCCTTGTATATTGTAACATTGGCCATAGACTTACCACTTCTGCTTTTTAATCTGCTTAGCTAGAGAATGAAATGAAGTTTAGCCAAAAGTTTTTTAATCTCATTTAAAAGATGCCTTTTTGTTTAAATTTTGTAAATTTTATATCTAAACACTGTAATTACATGTTATGTTTCAATTGTGGATGTTTCATATAAGTGTAAATTTGCATTTAGGATCCGGTGACTTTTTGGAGACGGCCCTTCCAGCTGTATGCAGGGCCGCATCAGGTTTGTCGGTGGAAATGCAAGCAAAATTGGCCACTGCGTGGTCAGAGCAGGGCCGCACCAGTATACGTATGATCTTAGAGAATCTACACCAACTAGTCACCCTAAGGGTTATTGTGACCCAGTTTCACAGGGACTTCTACGTCCAAGACGAAAATATTATCACTTCGGCTACCAAATTGATGAAAGTAAGTCTCTTCTGGTGAAAATCCTTTGAATGGCAATTATTTATTTTTCTTCAAGGTGTTGTATTACTCGAATGTACTCGCGGGGGAGTTAGAATCTGCTCACTTGAGATACGACGATTATAGTTCGGCAGATGACCCACATTGGGGTGCAAAACAGCCAAAAAATGTGCTGCCAGTGGATTTATTGGGTGAGACGATGCATTATGGATCTTAAGCTCATATTATAAAATTATTTTATTGGGTTGTTTTAGCTCAAGTACTCGGTGTAAATATTCTAGATTGTCGTAAGCCCTATATACCGTTTAGTGAATTTTATAATGAGCCCCTTAGCGATGCGGTCGAAATGGATAAAGATTTTGCTTATTTTAAAAGCGAATTAGGTATTGAATAATCTAGAAACATCCTGTGTTTTATTTATAAGGATTTATTTTAGGAAAGTTCAGTTTTATGAACTACGCCTTCATTTTGACCCCTGCTACCAAAACATTAGGATTATATTTTGATAACAGGATAAGAATGTACTCTGAGAGAAGGATAAGTTTTTTTCAGAGTGTCGCCGGTCAACCTTCGAATCCTTACCTACGCCTTAAAGTCAGAAGGGATCATATTATAGACGATGCCTTAGTCGAGGTTTGTGTTTATTTTGTTATGGTTTCAGTTTTGGGTCTTTTTTTAACTTTCAATTTCTATTCCAAAGTTAGAGATGATTGCCATGGAGAACCCGTTAGACCTAAAGAAACAGCTGGTCGTGGAATTTGAAGGTGAACAAGGTATCGACGAGGGCGGTGTATCTAAAGAATTTTTTCAGTTGGTTATAGAGGAGATTTTTAATCCGGATTATGCCATGTTCACATTCGAAAATGATTCGGAAACGGCTTGGTTTAATCCAACAAGTTTCGAAAGTGACGCCCAGTTTACGTTAATCGGGATAGTTTTAGGCCTGGCCATTTACAATAACATTATTCTAGCAGTTAATTTCCCAATGGTCGTTTATAGGAAGTTGATGGGGAAAAGGGGATCTTACGAAGACCTTTTAGAATGGAATCCTGTAAGTAATCTCACCTCAAATGTCATTCCAAAGTATCTGAAATGAACACAACTACTTTTAGACAATATACAATAGTTTAAAGCAACTTTTGGAGTATGATGAGCCAGATATTGAGGACGTTTTTATGCAGACGTTTCGAATAAGTTATCAGGACGTTTTTGGATCAATAATTTATCACGATCTGAAGGAAAACGGCGATCAGATCAATGTTACGCACCAAAATAAACATGTACGTTATTTTTTACGATTTTTGGGGGTTTTATTGATTTGGGGGTTGTATAGGAATTTGTGGATTTGTACGCCGACTACATGTTGAACAAATCAGTCGAGAAACAGTTCAGGGCCTTCTACAGGGGCTTTCAAATGGTCACCGACGAGTCCCTATTGGAATTGTTGTTTCGTCCTGAAGAAATTGAACTTCTCATATGTGGAAGTAAAGTAAGGATCTATTAGTGTAAAGAAAGGGGACGTTTTGTATAAGTTTTTATTTTCAGAATTTCGACTTTGACGAGTTGGAAGGGGCCACAGAATACGATGGGGGTTACACGAGTGATACACCTATAATAAAACACTTTTGGTCAGTGGTACATTCGTTATCGATGGAGGACAAACGAAAGTTGCTCCAGTTCGCAACAGGGTCGGACCGAGTACCTTTAGGAGGCCTTAGCAAATTGAAATTGGTCATTGCAAGAAACGGCACCGATTCTGACAGGTTACCAACAGCGCATACATGTTTTAACGTGCTCCTCCTCCCGGAATACGACACGAAAGAAAAGCTCAAAGACAGACTTATCAAAGCCATCAATTATTCGAAAGGATTCGGTATGTTGTAAATAATTTTTGTTGTTTCCCGTGTTTATTGAATCGTGATCGGAAATGACGGTTGTATAAGAGGTGGTAAATGTGGTCGTTTTTCGCGACAAATGAACGAAAACAGAAGCCGAATGACGATTGTCAGTCTCGTTGAATTGTATTGTAAGAAAAGGAAGTGTTCGTCCAAATGTGGACGTGTTACGGTGAGGATTGTTGATTTTCATTTAATTTGTCTATTATTATATTTCTTTCCTTTTTTTAAATTAAGTGGAAAAGTGATTTTCCCTACTCGTCTTTTTTTTTTTCGAGGGCAATACTAAAAAAAAGATTTTAAGTTTAGCTCACGCTTTATTAAATTTTCCCCGATGTAAATTGAATTGTACACACTTATACAGCTTATTATCACTATTATTATACTATTATCATGCTAAAAACAAGAGAGCATGTATAATAGTCTTGGTAATTTTATATGGAACTCCCAGCCTAATATTCGTTTTATATAATTATAATAAAGTGTGTATGTGTTATTACTACTATTATTATTATTATCATCATGTCGTCATTGTTAAGTAATCAGTTTATTCTCATTTTTTATCATTATTTTTATTGTTTATTTCGTTCTTTCGTTTTGTAAATATTTGCAATTATCGTAGGAACTCTTAATTTAAACGTTTTATGTATTTGAGTGTCAAAAAGTAAACATTAAAATAAATCTTCTGCATTTTCAATTAATTTTACTGTCTTTTATTTCGAATCGTAACCAAAAATGATTATTTAGATCAATATTGTAATTCCTATTTTTAACGTCTTTGTGAAAGGACATATAAATTGATTCACCCTGTATATGATGATTATAATTATTGTATTCTAACGATTAATTTATTGACCCGCGTCATAATTCTAATTTAACAGTCGTACCAGTTACTATCATGTCTTTAAACATATTCAATAAAGACAACAGAAAATGTTTCTTTATTGCTGAGATCGGCCAAAATCATCAGGGATCCATAAATATTGCAAAAGAGTTAATAAAAAAAGCAAAGGTGAGTTGTTTTGTAAAGTAAAATATGTTTATTGTATTATAATAGTGATAATTTATTTCCAGGAATGCGGAGCAGACTGTGTTAAATTTCAAAAGACATGTTTGCTAGAGAAATTCAACAGAGCAGCTCTAAATCAGCCCTACAATAATAGAAATTCGTGGGGGAAGACTTACGGTGAACATAAAGCATTTTTAGAATTTTCAGAGGACGAGTTTCTTGAACTTAAACAATGTGCTGACGAAAATAATATTTTATTCACAGCTTCCGCAATGGATTTAGTTTCGTTACATTATTTAAATAGCATTGAAGTTCCGTTTATAAAAATCGGGTCTGGAGATGCTAACAATTTTATTTTGATAGAGGAGGCCGCCAAATTAAATAAACCTTTAATTATATCAACAGGTATAAATATATAATACGTAAAAAATCGCACTTTAGAAATGTATGGTCTATTTATTTTTTTTATACGCTCCCAAAATCTACACAGGTATGCAAGATTCGATAACTGTTGACAAAATATACAAAATAGTTTCCGAATATCATAAAAAATTTTGTTTGATGCATTGCGTTTCGTCTTATCCAGCTCCAATACAAGACGTTAATTTAAATGTTATAAAACTGTTTCAAAGTAAATACCTTGACATTCCCATTGGATATTCGGGACATGAAATAGGTAACGACGTTGTTTTAGCTGCTGTCACTTTAGGTGCAAAGGTACAGTTATAATTTACTTATTTTTTTTTACTGTTTATACTATTGAAATGTCTTCTATTATTCGTGTACTGAAGTAAGTACTTATCTTCAGGTGATTGAGCGTCATTTTACATTAGATAGGACCCTTAAAGGGTCAGATCATGTTTGTTCTTTGGAACCGAGTGAATTTAAAGATATGATCGATAGGGTTCGGATGCTACAAGTAGCTTTGGGAAAACCCGAGAAGAAAATGCAAATTTCTGAATACGAATGTTATAAAAAGTTGGGTAAAACAGTTGTTGCTGCAAAAAGTATTACAAAAGGCACTCCATTACAAAAAGAGCATTTAAAGGTAAAAGTTGCCCTTCCTAAAGGTATAGATGCATCAAAAGAAGCTCGTTTAATTGGAAGGATTATTAAGAAAGACTTGGACGAAGATGAGTCCATTACAGAAGAATGTTTTGGTTAAATAAATTTTTAATGATAAATAAGTATTCACTTGATACCCTTAGTATTTAATTCTCCCTAGTAAGCTTTAAATATTTTTTAAATTAATAAATTAATGACAAATCTTATCCATTAGTCCTCTTCTTGAGGCATTAAATGCAATTTGAAACATCGATGTATATACACACATTTAAAAGTATTTTAAATATAAACGCCAAGTAATTATGTATCTATATTATTGTAGTTTTAATCCTCCCTGTAAGGGTCTAAAGGGAGATGGTTTTGATTAAGTAAAACAAAAATAAAAGCCGTTTAGTGGAAGAAAAGTTTACTATATATTTAAAACAATGTAATTACATTCCATTATTACTTATAATTGATGTTATAAATTAAATTATGATTGACACTTCCACAGCATGTAAAACAATACGAATCCCAATTCGACCGTATACATATGTAAACTTGTCTTCATTAGCCCAACCAAATCTAAAATAATTATTTCTTTAGTATTTTTTTTTTGTTTTTCACTCGTCTAATTATTATATTAATTAAAGAAGCATAATAGTAAATATAATTTCTGATATTCAGTTATAGGACAATAAAGAAAAGAATATTAGTGATTTATCCAAAACTCAAAACCGAACCGTAAAATAATACTTATAAAAATATAACCGTTAATTTTGAATTGTACAAGTCGTAATTTATTAATTACGTACAACAATCATCATCATTATTATTATTTAACAAGACAGGAACGAAGAAAAATATTTAATTTGTCGTTTACTCAATCAATCTATCAATATCTATCTTATGCCTTTCTGCAGCTTTACCAACTCCCAATCGCAAGGGACGATTAACAATAAATATGCAATGCTGTTTATTTTTAGATAGAATATAAGAAGTATGTTTAAAAAAGAAAATAATAATAATAGGGTAAATTATTATGCCTGCGTTATTGCGTGTGTATGTATGGATACGAAAATTAAGAAATACAGCACTTAACGTTAGCGCAGCTATAGCAAAGAAATGTACTTTTTTTTGTTTTAGTGGAACAATCGCCACCCCGGCCACAAATAGGCCGTGCGTGGATCATCGGTGGCGTGGCGAAGTTCGCGCGCGCGGGGGTATATTGCCTTATTTTACGCGCGTGCACGACTTCTTGCAACTCCGCAAGTGTGCTTAAAACACCGTTACTACTATTTTTACATTCTTTTTTTATTGTAGCTTAGTAACTCTTGTTTTGTCTGCCCGCGTCTGTCAATTATTACTATTTTTATTGTTGATCGCTGTTGTTTTTCTGTTATTTTAGAGTGGTATATTGGTTTGGTTCTCTCGTTGGTTGTTTTACTGCTCGCCTCGTGGTATTGTTGTTATTGTATGCTGCATGTACTGACAATTTGACATTCCATAATCAGATTCACTTGCTAATTTTCCTCATTTAGTAGTGTTTTTTTTTATTTGCGTGCGTGGTCGCTCCCGCGATTCCCTCGAAACGTTCTTGCGATCAGTAGGGCTGCGAGAATTGGGCGTTTGGCTGGTAGAATGCCGATCTGTCTCCCTGGTAGGTCGAATCCTGGGACAACAGGCCGTCCATTTGCGACTGGTACTCGTTCATGTACGGATCTTGACTCAATTCTGGTTGCGAAAGTCCCGGCTGTGAAAGGCTAAAACCTGCTTGGGACAACCCAGGCTGGGACATTCCTTGGGTTAATTGCAAAGTTTGGCTGAAGGGCTGCGTGTGTTCTTGACTAAGGCCGCGGTAGTTCTTTTGACGTACGGGAGCCTTGCGGGCTCGACTGTTTTGAGCTTGCGCCTGACGAGCCTGTAATGCCTGCTGATGTTGGTTGAAGAAACGAGGTGGGATGTGCGCCATATTCATAAACATGCCCACTGGTACGGGAAGATTGCTCAAGGCCGCTTGGGCTCTTTCTGGTGAGATATAACTGATAGGATCATGGGTGCGACTGAACATGTCCAATGGTACAGCGCCTACAAAAGAAGAAAAATTAAAGGTTGCATACCAAAACGTAATAATTACTTATACCCCTTTGGTAGTTGAACTGATTTCCGCCATTAACAGAAGAATTGGTGCGATCGTAAACCGAACCTGGCACCATAGCTTCGCGTGCGTCAAACATAGAAGTGCTCATAAAATGAGAACCTGGATTTTCAGAATTGATGAGCTTCTTGGGTTTGGCAAATTGGATTAAAGACTCTTTCAAATTTGCAAGTGGCCCCTCCACTAGAACTTTCTGTTCCTTGTAGAAGGCCAACAGATGATTCCATAATGGCTGTTTGGATAAAACCTGCAATTGACATAATATGTAATGAATAATATCTTTCTAAAAGAATAAGGCTTATTGCTTACCTTTGGATTACCCGCAATGATAATTCCGTATTTGGCTCGTGTAAGGGCTACGTTAAGACGCCTGGGGTCGTTCAGAAACCCAATGCCTTGATGCTCGTTTGAACGAACGCAAGACATTATGATAATGTCTTTTTCACGACCCTGGAATGCGTCCACACTCGCAACTTCAATCTCTTGGTACAATCGGTTGTGAAGCGAACCTTGGTACTGCATATACTGCACTAAATACGCCCTCTGACCTTCGTACGGTGTTATAATCCCTATCTGTTCAGGTTTTATTCCCGATTTCAAGAACCTTGTGGCGATTTTTTCCACATTAGCAGCCTCGGTCCTGTTTAAGTAGCTCGTACCAGAGCCAGCTATTTCTTCTTGTCCTTGAGTGACATAGAAAAACATGGGGCGGTCGATAACTGGCCATGGGAAGTCTACCTTGGCAAGTTTTCTTTCATCTGCGCATACTCCGTTTTGCAGACTACCCTCGTAAAAGAAGTTAGACGGGAATCGGGACAGTTCTGGGTGCATACGATATTGGACTTCAAGTCTAAATGGTCTTATACCAAGTACTACCAATCTTTCAAACAGGCTCTGGGACAACCCCGCTCTTGCAGCCTTTTTGCACATTACAACCGGTCCCAACTGACAATGATCCCCGACAAGTATAAGCTGCTTAACACCCAATACCACGGGGACCATACACTCTGGCTCTGTAGCTTGCATGCTTTCATCTATAAGGATCGAATGGAACTTCAAACGTACCAGTCGGGGATCCCCTGCTCCCACGCAAGTGCAACAAATCACGTCTGCAGCCTCTAAAAGTTCTTTTTCTGCACATTTCTTTAACATACGGTAACGTTTTTCATCGACTGAGCTGAGCTCTCCTGTCTCGTCTTTTAATTGTTGTAATTTTTGTAACTCTGTGTTTGTTTCCATCTTACGTATTTGGTTGTGGAGAGCAAGGAAACTTACAGGGGAATCAATTGCCTCTCTAGATTTTGCACATAATCGAACCACCTTCAGATTAGTTCTGTGTATTTTTTCCGTCAGCTGGTCAACTGCAGTATTACTTGGAGCACAAACCAGTACAGGCCCTCCGTTTTGTTTTACGAGCTGGTAAACGATTGTGGCAGAAGTCACCGTCTTACCAGTACCAGGTGGTCCTTGTATGAGTGACAGAGGTCTCTGGAGGGCATGCTTGACCGCATATACCTGGGAACGGTTTAAGTCAGGCAAATTAGGGGCTGAAAAGTGCTTGGGAAGATGACAACGGAAAAGAACTTCTTCCACTTCGTGTCCCAGGAGCCGATGGTAGATGTATGCAGACACAGATGAGTCATCCACTGCAAATTTTCTGAGAGCTAATTGCATTCTGAAACAAAATAAAGAGATTAAATATATCCTAAATGAAAATTGTAGACGAGAACCTGTCAAAACTGGTGCTTTTCCATATAAAATCAACGACAAAATTGCTGTGGCAATCGGTTGGGGCTCCGATACCATTCTTCAGCTCTATGCCGATGTCTTCACCATAGTTATCGGGTACTTTAATAACGTGTCCCACTCCCGACCAGGCCTTGTGCATCTCCCCCACGTAACGCAGACGTAGTTCGTCGCCATGCATCAGTTTCATGTCTCCATCTTGTTTTGCTAAAGTAAAGTAAGCAATAGTTTTCTTGTTCAAACCGACGTCCCAGCGAACTTCGATGTTTTCCTGGGTTTGGGACTCCTTTAATCTTTTGTCGTAATCTGCCTCTAATTTAACCAAAGGACCAAATATATTCTGGTATTGATAACCATCTTCATAACGAAGTAAAACCTACACATTTAAAAGTAAAATATTAATGACATTGTTAGCAACATAAAATGAGATTAAAAAAACAACCTGTTGGGGCTCTTCATCGACTCCAGGTTTCTCTAAGTCTTGGAATGTCGCATCCACATTCTCCTTCCATAACTCCTCCAACTTATTGATTTGTTGAGCAGTTATTTGTCTAGCTCTCAGCTGTTCTTGTTCAGAGGGTATTTTTACAAGCCAAGTCAGAAAACAACGGTCGGATATTAAAGGTTTCCACTGCTCCTGTTCCCAATTCATGTCCTAAAAATTATAAATCATTACATGTTATAAATATAGAGAGGACAAATGCAACTAGGAATTATGCCTATGTACACAAGTATGCAATAATAAGGGCTGGTAATTTCATACCTTTAATGAATTTTGTGCAGCACATGGCTGTCTGCATAGTAACACTACTACAGAATCTGCTTTTGCAGGAATAAAACCCAAGACAAAGACATTACGAACTCCACAACTGTAGCATTCAAGTATTGTTTCCCCAAGAGGTCCATCTTTATGTAAAGTGACTTCTTTATGCTTTGCACGAACCTACAACCAAGACTACTTGTAAATATACACAGTACACCTGCAATAAGATAAACTCACCAAATGATTAATGATGTGACTTCCAGAAGTGTTTCCTCTTCCATTGCAGAACCACTTTTTGCAGGCATTGCACATAACCACACAATTTGGCTCATGAATTCCACAGTATTTACAGGCATAATCAGGAAGCTCTTTGCTATTGTAAAATTCTTCATCATCCTCTTCAAACTGTAAATCTCCTAGTGCAGCAGTAGCTGAAGCTATTTTGTTTGCAATTGCATTATTTTTGCTGGAAAGTCCATTGACCTGTAAAGCCACAAGGTTGTGAAATAAAAATAACCACAAGAAAGGTGCATAAACAAATATTACCTGATTTGAAATTTGTGTGTTGTTATGATCATGCTGGGAGGCTTGGGTTTGAGATGGTAGTGTAAAATCCGTGAAATCGCACTCTGATCCTTGGGTATCAGCTCCTATTAAGTCAGCTTCCTCTGTGTCCAAAAATGTGAGGGTTTGGGAACTTGGACCATATGCATCAACACTCATTTTTACACGACTGTCACGAGAGAATATGTTTTACATATACTATTTGGAAAAACTAATGTAAAACAATTTCAGGCAGTTAACTTCTAAAGGAACTAATTCACCTAGATACATTAAAACTTTACATGTGTCACAAGCGCCATACTTCATTTTATTAATCATCACTTGTTTTCGTCACAGGATACTAACTAAAGGCAACCGGCATTTTTAAAAAATCCTGCTGTAGTCATTCGTTTAATTTCTAAAATTTAGAACAAGTAGATATAAAGTATATTAATTAACTAGTAATAAATTAATGGATACATAACTGTACTTTCTTAAATGGATTAAACAACTGCAGAAGTCTTTGAAAAATAAGATAAATATGAAACCCTTGGGTGTAATCAATGTTACAACGTCGTAACTGATCAGAAAGTCACCCAGGGATCACAAAATGGCGTATCGTTTATATAATTAATGTAATTATAGACTAAAATTATGAATTGTATTGAGCCTTTTATAATAATTCATCGAAACACGAAACTAAAAAATCGAATTAATCTATTTGCCATAAAGTCCAATAAGTTTTTAAAATAATACACCTTTTTTAACATAAATACTTAAGTTTATTTACAAAAGCATTTATAAATTAAAACAATACTGATGACGAGTTGTACTTAATAGGTTTTTGTATATAAATATTATAATTTAGTACTGGATTTTGTACTTAATCATCTTTTGGATATTGTCTCAATTTTGGCTAATAATGAATCTACTTTTTTAAGTAAATTTCTTTGTCCATTTTTGACCACTTCGATCGACTCCTCCAAGTACCTTAAACGGGACAATTCTTCGTTTCCTCGTATGAGAGCTTCCTTTTTTTCTTTCATTAATAAGTGTGTTTGGGACGTGACATGTTGATCCAATCTTAATACAGATTTATTAATTATGGAAGACACAAATGGCAAACCACTTAGGCAATTGTTACTAAGTTTTTTGATATCGTCTTTCCTAATTTCAATCCTTCCTTGTTGATTTGGATACACTGTTAATTTGTAGTTTTCCAAAACGTAAGGAAAAAGGCATATTTCTTTTGCAAACGATTGCTTACCTTGTCGACACTGAATCAACTTTTGGATTTTCTTTTTTATCTTGAAAGAGATCCTACTAAAGATCGATTTTCCTTGAAACTGATTTTCATTTCCAATCAAATCCGATTCCAGCGAAGTGATTAGTTTAATTTGGGACTTAAGTCCAGACAGTTTTGCTTCTTGTTGGATTTGCTGGACATCAGATACAGCTAAACCACCAAGAAAGTTGAGCAAATTGATCGGAACTATTAGAACAAAAATTACGAAAAGAATGTCGCTAACCACGGGAATTAAAGGCTGCAAAGGGACGGTCCAAAAATCCCCAGCGAGTATAAGGAATGATTTATACAACGACAATCCTAAGGTTTTTAGTGATTTGGTGTTGATTTCGTCTGTATCATTCGAGTTTGAGGTGGATAAACTTTTCTCACTCACATTTTCCGTTATCAGAGTATATAGACTAACAGCATATCCAAAAACGAGTATCATATACGTGAAAAGGACCCCGAAAAAGTTGTAGGTCACAACTTTGAACATTTGGACATGCGTGGTCTGTTCACCGAGGGTGAATAAGAGTCTGAAAGACAAGAAAAACACCACCAAAGCAGACAAAGACCTTCCCCAAATTGGGGGAAGTGTCAGTATGAGAATATAACATATCAATTCTGGTAAATCGTTTAAACTAAAGTATAAAACACTTGTTCCTAATAATCCTCCACTTGCGATTACACCCATTTGTAGTAATAAAAAGAATAACATAAAAAATCTGATGAAGATTAGGATTATCGATAGATTTCCGTGGATTGTATGGAAACTAAGCGCCTGTAGTAGAAACAATATAAACATGGTGATTAATCGAAGACGATTTATGTTATAAAACCACGATATCTGTCTCCATTTCATAAAAATTAAACTCGTTATCACCGGATGATTGATAAGATGCTTCAAATCAGGATTGTTACAGATGCATAAAATAGTTTCCATCTCCGCCTGGATCTCGTAACCGTTTTCGTCGATTAGCGGATTCTCTTCCTCAATTTTTACTATTTCATGTAATTTTGAGATGTTGCTGGTAAATTTTTGAGAAGTTATGGAGTTTGTCGACTTAAAATTCTCGTCTGTTTTAACCTTTAGAGGAGGCGGCATCAGAGATTTGTAATTGTAATATATTTTGAGGCTCTCTTTGTCATCGTTGCATTTTAAATAGTGCAGATCGACTTCTAAGCATTGGTCTAAGTGTTTTTTTAAAGTGGAACTGTCTATGAATTCTACCAGTAAATTAGGATTATCGCTGGAAGTCCTTAGGGCCAAAGAAGCCCCGTGTTTTAGTAGATCTAAGATCAAATCTTGAGAGCAATATTTGATTGCGTATTCCAACGGGGTGACTCCTTTATCGGTGGGTAGATTGACGTCTGGTTTCTTTTTCGAACTGAGGTACGCGTCGTAACACGCTTTGAAATATCTTCTCTGTGGCTCTTTTACTTTGGACACTCGATGCAAAAGTTCAATGAGAAGATCATTCGATTTTATATGGACATTGTCGTTGTTGATGAGAACGTGGAATATTCGGTAAAATCCACGGCTTATGGTGATTTCCAGGGGCGTTTTTTTGTTCTTGGTGGTGGTCAATGTTGGATCGGCCCCATTGTCTAGTAAAGTTTCTACAGCTTTTTTTAAATTCAAATAACACGCTACTTGTAAAATTGTGTCGTCTACAAGAACACAATTGGCGTATGTTTTGATGGTGTCTTTCGGTATTTGGACAAACTCATCCACGAATTTGTCTTCGTTAGTACGAAGTAGAGAGAAAAGCTTTGATTTGAGCTCATCATCTAAAGATTCATCGGACATCCTGGAAATTTTGTATAAATGAGATTTAAATATATTAACTAATTTCTAATGCACCCTAATTTAATTCAGGAAATATCTAATTTAATTGTTGAATATTTTCGTATTCATTAGCCTCATTTATTTTAAAAATAATAAAATTAACTTACTTAAAAAACACATTCACTGTTATTGCAGCGGTGATATAATGCGACAATGTATCTACATTACTAATAATGCATTACGGTAGTTTTGTTTATTTAAAACGATTAGCACGCCTTGGTATTTTGTGTATCACGTGAATAATTAACTGCTTTTAAATAATCTTTTTACTTGAAACTTCTTAGTTGTTACTTTTAATAATTATCTAAAATTGTTATAAAAATCAGACACCTATAAAGAAGGTCCTACAAAAAAGAATCATAACTGAAAGAAGAACGTTGATCCATGTATTAAAGTTGATATTTAATCTTATCAATTCGGTTTGGGAACTTATCTGATTTGTTTACATGAGATAATATGCATATAACTGTAATATCTCTAAAAGACTTCTACTTCTTTTAATCAAAAAACCAGAATTAAAAAAAAAAACTGATTTAAAAAATTGAAATTTTAAAGTCCTTTTTAACAGTACGTCATCTAGAAGTTAGAAGTGATAAGCAGTGATACGCACAATATTCAGGAAATTTAAGTACAAAATTCTGTTTTAATAAATATGTTCTCCAATAGATGTCTCCTAGCTTTCAATTCTTCTTTTGAAATTGATTAATACATGCCCTTAAGTTTAATTTAATAAGTATTAAATTTTTATTGAGGATAACACAAATAAAAAAAGTCTGTTTCTCAATTCCTTCAAAAAAGAGAATATTGTGTAGGAATTAAACAACGAATAATTTATTAAAATACAATTTTAAATAGGTACACCTACAAATTCAAACTAAGCCAAGAAGAATAATAGGCGCTTAGCTCATTCAGTTTTAATTGATACATTGAAGTTAGTAGATCGAAAACAACTAAAGAAATTTTTACTTAATTTTAAGTAGAGGATTTTCACTTTTTTCACAAGAGATTCCTACATACATTACAATTATTACACTTTCGTTTCTTAATTTACATTTTCAGTAGAGATTGGGTAAATTTGCATACCCGTGTCTTCTTTTTTCTGTAGTTTATATATTGTTCATACAAAAGGAAGATAAATAGCCTTAGAGGCAAGTGTTTTACCCTGAACTATAAAATAGTAATTATACTTCACGAATTTTTTTACAATTGTAATAAAGCGTGTTATGGGAACTGGAACATTTGCATTAACAACAATAGTTCATTATATTAAATTAAATGAACAAACGTATCTTGAGATTCAAACAGATTATTCTTCATATGAAGATAAATTTGTAAATCAGATTTCAATAAAATTCACAGACGATCGTAGGTTTTACGTAATTATTTTGTGATTTTATTTATGATAATGATTTTATTTTACTGCAAAAAATAATTTCGCGATGGTCCATTTGATTTGCTTCATAAAATTTACACAACAAAAATTCGTAGATCGTTAAAGTTGGTGACAAATCGAAGTGTTTCCTTATTTTGACTTCCCACCAAAGGTCATCAAGATGGTACTTTCATAACAATCCACGTTAATGTCAAAGGTTACAGTAATTTTTTATATCCTTGGAGATCCATTAAACAATGTCATTTAACCACAAAGAAAATCATTTTAGTTATTTTTTTCCAATAAATATCGAATAACATTAAAATATTTTGCAATCTCTTGCCATTATTAAAGAGAGGCAATCAAAACAATTAAATATTTTTTCTTCTGCATTTCTTTAGGCAAATTTTGGACTATCAAGAAAATTGATGTTTGAGCAATTTTATGTAATTTTGTCGTTGTTTCCGAGAATATAAATTATTTTTGAGGGTGTGTCGCGAAATTGTCGGTGTCGGCTTGGGATCGTGATTTCTTAAGTTCCCTTCGGTAGGAAAGTCGGTGGTGTTAGAGTCAATGGTGAGGGGACTAAACTAACTCACTGAAAAGACTGAAGAAAGATCGCCGGTGATTCAGTTTTAGTTTTTGTTCCGTTACGGTGTGATTTGTAACGTGGAGGAGATATTTTTTTATTTTGGTTCTGTAAGCTGTACGTTACGCCATGGAATTCAAAACTGTTGTAGGCGTACTATTTTTACTAGGTATGTATCACATTTATATTATTTAATAGTATTATTAAATTTTTTTTAATGATGA